GAAACCAAACAAAATGAAACATTGAGCCGAAGGCCGAATACCGTACACAGTTTTTCGAGTTTTTATATTTTGCCAATTTTTTTCATCATTGCACAAATTAAATAGCCAAAATGCGCTTTTTACTGTTTTGTCTTGCTTTTCAAAGAAAAAATCAGTTACAAAACAACAATTTAAAAATATTTAACACTGAACATTTTTTTAACATTCTAGCAGACACTATACCGACAAAGCACAATTTAACTTAAAATTAATAAGTTAGTAAAATGCTTTTTGGCCATCAGACCCCCTTCTTGAATCAGGCAATATTTTTTTTACTGTACAATTAAAAGCAGCCTATGTTACAATAAATGTATTAACAGAGCTGTTGTAATTATTATTATCATTATTATTGTCTTTTTATTTTATTTTAAAGAACAAAAGTAAAATTACAATACTAACATTTATAAATGTTGATGGAGTTCTTGCTTTTATTTTTTTTTTTAACTTTTATTTTGGCGAAAATGCGCAGGAAGACCTCAATGCTTCTTTTTGTTGACAACAGATTTATAAAGGAGTCTCATTACGAATACGTCGTATGTATTGCATTGTCACATACCTTGTAAAAATTATTTAAAATGTGACTGAGCAACTGACGAGTAACACTGTTTCAGCGCAGATTTTCCTCGGGCTTTGGACTTTGAACCCTGGTTAACAAGCGGATCCACCGCGAGTTCGTGCAGCGCTGTCAGAATACATGCAATTCGTGCGTGTATTAGAAAACATGACATTCTGCAGTTTATTTACTAATTGCGTCACGTCATTGTTAGGTACAATAGGGGTTATGCGCAACAGACTTCCGTATTCTGTTAACCTGGTCTTGCCGCTTCTGGTTCAAGCGTTTTGCATATGATTCGTTAAATATGAAGCGGTTTTACTCAAGATGCCTTCAAAGTAGATACCAAAGATTATCATAACCAATGCCCATCACCTATGCGGACTGATATCTACAAGTTTTTTTTTTTATTATTCTTTTCACTAGCATTTAGATATAAAAAAATTGAATAAAAAGTCAACAATAAGAATAGTTAGCTAGTTTAACTGATTATCTTAAAAGTCCATAGATATCGCTTAATACGTCTGTTAAACACGTTCTCCGACAAGCGGAAGCGATGAGACTTCTTTTCCGGATTTGGTCAGGTGATGTTTGACATATACCCTATTGGCTGTTGTCACCATAGATATGTATATGTAGATGTCTCATTAGCGACTGTTACTATGGGCCGCTATAGACCAATTTAGAGTAGACGTCACAGTTACGTCACTTGCAGCTGTGCGCACATAGTGGTTGCAGAAAAACACTGGGAACAAGTGGAGGTAAATGGGTAAAATCCATGGAATAAAAGAAAAATATATTTTTGTGCCTTTTGATGTCAAGAT